GATATATTCCYCGTTACTGTCTTCTATCTCTGCACTTACTTACCAATTCCAAATATTGTTGTCCAGGCAAACTGCTAGCAATAAGGTTTATGCCAAAGGACTGCCGATTGGACTTGGTCAGTGCACAGTAAACCATGCCATCGCTATGATTACGGGTATTCAACGACAAACAGCCCGACGTTCTCCGACATGTGGCGACACACGACCAAATGTCTAATGACGTCATAGTGCCAATCACGTGACCATTGATGTGATATCCCAAAAATGCCTGGATGTATTCATTTGATTGTTCATTGTTGTTTTGTTGGCCAACTGTACATGTTATCACGAATGTGCAAAACATCAGAATGACCTCATTACCAATTCCCATTCTTTACTTTGTAGTCTTTCTTTTGTAGTTTCTAAACTCGTTTATAAGAGTAATAGCAAATTATTGTTATTTTTTTTTTAATTTATTTCAAAGCAAAACAATAATAGTTTTTACAGCACAATAACTCGATAGAATACTTACAAACTATCAAGAGATAACTACAATATTACTAAAAGTACGTTATTAACAATATCACTACATTATTTGTTAAAGATAGCAATGCATGATTGGTTTAACATAAGGTTATGGCAGGCATATTAGTACATTCTCAACAAAAGATTTTATAAGCATGGATGCTATATCTTTTTATCTTTTATTCATAAGGGATGTTTCGTTGTAGTAGAGGATCCAGAACATCACAAAGTGGGGTGATAAACATTTATAACAATAATTTTCTAACAGATCTAATAAAAATTGATTTTTTCATATTTCCTAAGATTTTTGGCTTTTTCATAGCCATGTTATATTCAATATTTCTGTAAAAGTTTAGTAAGCCTCTGAAAATCGTGTAGACCTAATAACAAATTATATTTTAAATTATATATTTTTTTTTAAAGGAGGATCAGTTTAGTTTTTTTTTACTATTCATTGTTACTTGACAGGGTGTACGGCCATGTTGCGGATGAACTGCGGACAGCTTCCATTATAGTCTACTTATCAGGAGGAGTCGACGTGGTCTGTTCTTCTAAATAACTGTTCTTGTACGAATTCCTGGGAAATGGATTTTGAGCTACATGTTGACAATCTCACAAGCAAATGTAGCGCCCTTCTATCTTAAAAATAATTTTGTTCCTAGCAAACGTTTTTATGGTCAAAAAGGCTTGTATAAACTTTTTAAACGGCTTACATTTTTTTAGTTAGGAAACCTTCATTTTCCTGAATTTCTCGCTGGCAACGAGTTGTGACTAACAGCTGGTTGGGACATTAGAACAGATATATTTCTCCTAAGAACCCATCGGCTCCTCCTAACTTATTCTGAAAATCTAAAACTCGAAATTCGTTCTTAGCGTGTACACATATTATGCGAGATGCTTCCAAATGGATAATTCTTCACATTTGTCTACTATATATATACTCTGCATCATTGGAAATTATCCTAGGAAACTCTTGAACATTAATCGACCTCTGTGCGCTCTGATACAATACTCAATTGTGTACATTCCATAGTAGCTTTGGAATGGTAGCTACTTTTAAAATACATTTAACTTATAAACATTTTTTAGTGCGATGTGACTACTTTAATTTTTGTATATAAAAAAACAGGAACTATGCTATAAATAAATGCGATAAATGAAAAGGAAAGTTGTAGTATAGTAATGTTTCCCTTAGTTGATTTCAGTGTATACACTGCCTCGTAAATGATATCATATATCTTTGTGTTGCCCTCTCAAACAGACACGGACGAATAAATAAGGTACCCACCACCTATAATATGCTGTCCTGTGGTTACTGTGAGAATGAAGTTTCGCTATTAAGTATTTTATATTCGTTCAGAAGGACAAGAGTATAAATACTTTTTTTAATAAGGTTATTCTGGACTCGAAGTAGATCTACTACCCAAAAATCCGCTATTAGGTGTTACCTAATTTTTACATTAGATATTATAATTTAATTCAAGATTTTTTTACATTTAATTTCATTATAATAGAGTACAAACACTAAAACTGTGCAACATAAATACCACTAAATACTGCTAAATTATGCTAATAATTCTATTGTTTATTTTCTATTGTTWAATTAACACTATTTTGTAGTAAAAAGTGGAAAGTGTTGCACACATTTARTGTTTGTACTCAATTGGATCAGTTATATAAATTCTAAAATGAAATGAAATTTGATTTGAYTTTAGAATTTCTATAACTGATCCAAGATCTATTGATTGCCCAGTGATAGATTATAGTCAATGGCTACACTGAAGAAATTTATTTTCCGCAAACCTAAATTTATCCACTTTAAATAATTTTTCTTGTGTTAATCACCCCCCTTTGTGATGTTCTGGATCCTCTACTGCAACGAAACATCCCTTATGAATTAAAGATAAAAAGGTATAGCATCCATGCTGATAAAATCTTTTGTTGAGAATGTACTAATATGCCTGCTATAACCTTATGTTAAAACCAATAATGCATTGCTATTTTTAACAAATAAATAAGGCTCAGACGTGGTTTATACACTGATAAACGCACGCTTGGTATTTGAAACACGCGACAAAATGTCGAGAAGCACGAGTTGAAAGCGAGTGCTTTTGGACATTTTTGAGTGTGTTTCAAATGCCAAGCGTGCGTTTATCAGAGTATAAACCACAGGCTGAGACTTATTTATTTGTTTTATTATATAGATTTTGCAAAACTTAAGCAAAAATCCATTTTGTTGCCTTTTTCAAAAATCGCTCGCGCACAATCGTGGTTTATACTCTCATAACCCACATTTTTTTGGCCAATCAGAGCGCGCGTTAGAAATCATCTATATAATAAATCAATTTATCATATAATTATTTATGAAATACCTATATTTCTCCATTTCGCAAACTTGATATCTTCACTAGTGAAAATAACATGTAACATAATTTGCTTTCGTATACAATTATATGATAAATAGAATATTACATGTTCGCTTAGAGATACGAATTTTATCTTCTCGTGTTGAAAATCTCAGATCTTTTCAACACTCGAAGATAAAATCCGTATCTCCGCGCACCCATGTAATATCCTCTATATAACCCACTGCCGTTCGTCAACTAGCTAATGGAATAAATCCATATTAGATAGCACATCAGCATGTGTAGAAATTCTATGTATTTTCTAACGATATGTAATGAATACAAGCGTGATGATGTGACAAGGTGGATACTCTTGGGTATAGGGGCGGGAGTTATATATTTGTGGAACAAGTAGGTGTAAGCCATCGAAGGTATCTCTAAACGCACTTGATTGTAAAGTTTTTAA